AAAGCTCTTGATGAGTGTAACATCGATATGAGCTTATATCTTTAAAAAGTTCAATATTTATACGAAAGTACAGAGTATTTTTACAAATATCTTGAGAAATATTGACATTTTTAAAAATATAAACTCATCTCGTTGTTACACTTCTTGAGACCTTTCTTTTGAGTACCCACATCAATTTTTCATATATTTATATATATATATTATATATATGTATATATGAAAAATATATAAAAAATGCATGTGGGTACTCAAATGAAAGCTCTCGATGAGTGTAACATCAGGATGAGCTTATACCTTAAAAAATGTCAATATTTAAGAAAGTACAGTACAATTTAACAAAATTCATTATTTAATTAAGCAAAATTTTATTTATTTATAGTGACTGCAAGGTTACTAGTTATTATTATTATTTTAACTTTAAAAAATTAAATTAAAGTCGATATTTAAAATGAAAATAATATACCCTAAACTTTAAAAAAAAAAATAAGGAAGGTATGGCTCGTCGAACTGCTGTCAAAATAGAAATTTGAGTCTGCGTATAATCGAGATGAATAACTAGGGGATTTATTGAGGGATGATTCATTGGGCGAGAAGGTGGATGAAAAATATCCCTTTGTTCTTTGTCCCGATCCTCGTCCCCTCCACTTCTGTTCCTTTATCTGAAACTGGATAAGATAATTTCAGTAGTATTATTTTAGGTTTTGTGCCTTTATCTGGTCTTACGCTTTATTCGCGTCTTTTCGGTTATAAAGAGGATCGCGCGTGAACGAACACCCGTGAATTGTGAAATTTTTTCCAACCCTGTTTACTGAGCGTGTTTTTACTCTATTTACTGTGTAGCGTACACTGTACTGTATTACTTTATGTACGTATTTAGAGTAATGTAGTGTATCTGTACACAGTAGTTGTGTGGAGCCTCTTACCCCCACTGAGTAATTGGGGGCACGATATATGATGGATCAATACACTTTACAACGCATTTTTACAACTCAACTCACCCCGATCCCTTCATATTTACTTTACAGTTTTTTATTATTTTTTCTTCGGTATATTCTGTTGTTATTATCGATTTTTTCGTATCTAATTAATTTATTTGTTATTCTTTTTTTTCCTAAAAAATATTTTAAAAAATTTCAAGCTTTTAATTTTAAAAAACAAATTTATTAAAATACAAATTATCTAGCCCCAAAAAAATGCATCGAAGCTTAAAAATAGCCAATTTATTATTTTTTTTCGCATTTATGCCTTTTTTTGATCAAATTAAAAGTATCAATAAAAAGAAATAAACTCTTTAGTAATTAATCAACTATAGGATTAATTTTTTCTTCAGAATTTTTTTTTTTTTTTTTTTTTTATTAAATTGAGTAAAATCTTTAAACTATCTTAAAATCACATTAAGAACCTTTTAGAATTTTTTTTTTATTAAAATTATTGAATAAAAAAAAATTTTATAGGTAATTTTACCTAAAAGTTATTGAAATAAAAATTATGTACCCTAGAAAATTAAAAAAAAAATTTTTTCCGAAAAAACTGCATCGAAATTAGAAAAAATAGAAAATTTTCGCCGACATTTTGGGTTTTAACCTTTTTTTACCTCATAAAAAATTTTTATAATGAATAATTAAATTTTTTAGTAATAAGTCAAATTATAACAATCATTTTTTGTTTAAAAAAATTTTTTTTTTTGCCAAAAATCAAGTAAGATCTTCAAAATATTTTAAAATCGCTTTATGTACCCTAAAAAATTAAAAAAAAAAAATTTATCCGTAAAAACTGCATCGAAATTGGAAAAAATAAAAAATTTTCACTTTTTCTTGCTAAATTTTTGTGTTTTAACCTTTTTTTGCTTTAAAAAAAATATTTCTAATGAAGAATTCAATTATTTATCAATGAGTGAATTATAACAATCATTTTTTATCAAAAAAATTTTTTTTTCGACCAAAATCACGTTAGATCTTCAAAATATCTTAAAATCTTATTAAAAAGCTGTTAGAATTTTTTTTTTAACAAATTATTGAATAAAAAAAAAATTTGTAAGGAATTTTACTAAAAAATTATTGGAGTAAAAATTCTGCACCCTTAAAAACTAAAAAAAAATTTTTTATCTATAAAAATTGCATGGAAATTATAAAAAATAGAAAATTTTCACTTTTTTAACCTTTTTTTACCTAATAAAAAATATTTACAATGAATAATTTAATTTTTTAGTAATGAGTAATAATAACAATAATTTTTTATTCAAAAAAAATTTTTTTTTTAACCAAAATCAGATTAGATCTTAAAAATATCTTAAAACCGCTTTCAAAATTTTTTTATTCAAATTATTGTGTAAAAAAAATATTTTTTACTTAATTTTAGATAAAATCCTTCCAATTGTCTCCAAAATTTTCTATTTCCGCCAATCGGATCTAAAATACCCTTCAAAAGATCTAATTTCCTTGAAACTTATGTGATTCTTAAAAAAATATTTTTTCGAGAAATTCAAAAAGGAAATGAACGTGAAAAAGAATGTGAAATGGTTCTATTAACGTCCTAAAATGTCACACGTCATTAGTAATAAAGTTTATTTATTTTTTATTGTCGTTTCTTCCGCGATCTTGTCTCTAAGCAAAAAGCTACGCATTACTATCGTATCACTGACCTCAGTCTTATGTGCTTTCAATAGTTTTGTTCCCTTCCCCTTGTGTTTGACCAAATGAGCTCCTCCAGCCCCCTCCCCCTCACCCTTCGCCGGTCAGTATATATATATATATATATATATAAATATATGTACGTATATTCTCGTTTTATCCGATCTGTATCTTAACACATTTGTCTTTCTCAACAAACAGTTCGAACGTCTATTTTTCACTCAACCCATTGGCACCCGAGTCAAAGATTTCGAAACCGCGAACGCGTCTCGCGGCTTAATTAAATTTAGAATATTTTTTTAATTTCTACGATTCCAATCGGATTATTTGGCACACTGAATTTAAATCCCTTCATTTTTTTTTTATTCATTTAAGGACATTCGTGCGTAAGACTTTATATTTTTTAGCGTTGATAAGTTTAATTAATAATCTTCCCTAAAAAATTGAAAATTCATCGATTATTTAAAAAAGTTATTTACGATTAAAAATTAGATTTTTAACATACAACCTTAAGGCAGATCAGCATTTTTTAAATTAAAAATTATAATATTTATATTATTAAAGTAGGTACCATAATAAATAATGTTTTAAAAAATAATCTGATTAATGTAGTTAATATAAATGCATCAAAACACACACAGTGTGGACGAACGTTTAAATAAATAATTTATTATTTTACTTGGTATAATTAAAATAATTTTAGTTGATTTTTGAGCGTACTGAAAACAACCACCTCAATTCAGCTGATTACACCGTTAGAAATGACAGATTTGTCTAATTTAATAAACAATAAAGATGGACGTTAAATCAACGACTAATTTATACTTACTGATTTTTTAAAATAGATCCCTAAAAAATATTTCAGGTAAATAAACAAATAATTATAAATCATTATAAGATTATTTATATACTTTATTATTTTTTTCAAGGCCCCAATAAATTTCATAAAAAGTTGTTACTCTTTTGACTCTAGCGTAGCGCATGAACGTCCTTAAAAAAATTAATTAAATTAAATAGATATTTTACTAAAAAAGGTATAAAAGGCCCCGGATTATTCTTTAGAAACTCCCGTTAGATCGTCGCAAAGGGTTAAACTTCAGCCGGCTGAGATAAAACCGAAATAATAATAACTTAACTAAAAAAAAAAATAAAAAAATCTCACCCAATTGAAAATCCACCGGGATAAAAACGATGTGGGTCCTTTATGCTTTTAAACAAAATTCAACAAAACCTCCCCTTAGACCCAATATTTTCATCTCACATCTCACATCTAACATCTCACGTCTCGTCTTTTCACTATCATTATTATTATCAAACTTTTTTTTCCCTCTGAATAAAAGGGTTCCTCTCCTTATTTTATAATTTTATTCTCCACGTGTGTCCACAAAAAATCTCACAAAAACTAATATTTTAAGTTAAAGCTTAGTCACGATCTTTTTCAATCTCTCTAAAAAAAATTACTTATCTGCTTTTGATTATGTTTTTTTGGTTTAGCATGATGGAGATGGTACCCAGTTAAGATTTATAGGTCATTGACATAACAAATCATTTTTCTTTTCATGATCAATTATTAAAGTGTGAAATTTTTTTTCAAATTCATCGATTGTTCTACTTTATCAAACAGCCGATAAAAAAATTACCTTTAACACATACAGTCGGTAAAAGAAAAGATTTACCGTCCGTAAAGAGACACACTGACTTATCAACGACGACATACTTACCCCCAGAAAACTACTTTATCGATTAGATAGGTGCAGTAGGTTGCTTACCTAGAAATTTATGACTTACCGACAGAATTAGCAAGGAGGAATTAGCGTCATACAGTGACGCTAGATGACCTTACGTGTCCCGAAACATTACTTTAATCAATAAGATACTTGACAATTCATTTAAGGAGATCTACGCGAAGTAGTAAAATTTTTAAAAGATCCTGAAAATTTGTAAATTAAATCTACGTAGCCTAATAATTAATAAAAAAATTTTAAAACAGTAGATTTCCAGAATGCTATATTTTTTATTAAATTAAATGTTAATATCGGAAATTTCCTGAAAAATTCATTAATTAATTTAAAAATCAATTTTAAGAACAGCATTTCGACCTTTATTATTTTACAGACATTTTTTTACACTAGAAGGTTACTTGGATCTCCTTAAGCCTTAAAAAATTATTTTTTTGAACTCGCAATTAGAGCCGGAACATTTTTGTAAAATGCAAATCTCAACTTAAAACTTCTTTTATACGTGTTCCTCCTAAAACAAGACAGACCAGACAAACCTGAACCCTTTTACCATTGGAAGAAGAAGCCTGGCAGTCGACCGGGAAGAAAATCTACTTAATAATTTCTGTTTACAGCCCTGCTGAGTCAGAGTATGTCTCCAGTGCCTGACAACCTAACCACGGGGTCAAAGTCATCACTAACAGCACAATCTCTGCAGCAGCAATCTACCCAGCAGATTGATTACTCGCGATACGTTCGACGATTCTCCTCAGCATTAGAATGCGGGTCGTCTTATTGCAAAGAACTTGGTTGTCGGGAGCACTTCCACTGTCTAGATTGCAGCGGGCGGGTGTTTGTCAAAAAAGAGGAGATGATCCGCCACTTCAAATGGCACAAAAAGCGCGACGAATCCCTGCAACACGGTTTTATGCGATATTCCCCAACAGACGATTGTTCCGAACGTCACCCAATGAGAAGCTGTCCTCACAATAGGAAGCAAACACATTACCATTGCATCCATGACAACTGCGACAAGGTCTACATCTCTACATCTGACGTCCAGATGCATGCTAACTACCACCGCAAGGATTCTGCAATCATCCAGGAAGGATTCCAGCGGTTTCGCGCAACGGAGACTTGCGCGACTGATTACTGTCCGTTTGTAGGTCAAAGAACCACTCACTTCCACTGCAGAAGGTCCAACTGCAGGTATACTTTCAAGAACAAAGCCGATATGGACAAGCACAAGTCCTACCACATCAAAGACGAGCAACTTTCTAGGGACGGATTTAAAAAATTCATGAAATCTGAAGCTTGTCCATATGAGCAGTGCAGGTTTTCTCGAGTTTGTAATCATATCCACTGCATCAGGCCTCACTGCAGCTACGTGCTTCATTCTTCTGGTCAGTTGTTCTCCCACAAACGCAAGCACGAGCGGCATGACTCGGAACTGGCTTACAGAAAGTACAAGCAAGTTGGTCCCAGTGGAAGACCAATGAATTGGGAGGAATTAGCAGGCTCCAGTGTGTTGAGCATGAACGGCGAGAGTTCCAACGAAGAGCGAGCTTCTCCTAGCTTCTATTCCCTGGAAGACTCCTTCCAAAGCGCGAGTGACCTGGCGATGGATCTAACAGCGACCAACATGAGCACGTTAGCCAGTTCCACCTCGATGGAGCAGCCTAGCTCGCCGGGAGCTTCAACAGGAACTGGTCTGACGGCTTCAGAGCTTACTTACCTAGCTCCAGCTTCAGCAGAGTGTCCTTGCAATCACCGGAGTGATCACTTCCACTGTGCGTTGGACGGATGTGGTGCTACGCTTCGAGACCCCAGAGAAGTTAGGGAGCATCTGAGGGAGCACGAGACCCAGGAGCGGATTACTGATGCGTACTTCGACGAAGGAACCTGCGAAGACTGCCCTTATGCTGATAAGGAGAAGCACTATCACTGCAACTGGGATAATTGTAAGGAAGTCATCCTGGCGACTGACAAACCCTTCAGGAGGTTGCAGCACTACAAGATCCATGAGTACACGAGGCAGCTGAATTTGAATAGTTCCACCCAGATCCTTTCCTCTGATGTGACGCTGACACATTTGACTAACATTGATGCGATGTTCAGGAGGAAGCGTGGTAGGCCGCCCAAGAATCGGGTTATAGAAATCTGGTCTGGAGGCGGAGACTCATCAAGTCACACTCAAGATTCGCCTCAGGCGATCTTTACGAGCTTCAAGCTTCCTAAGCCAACTCCTGGTCCTAGTCCTAGTCCCATAGCACTCAGCCTTGGTCCCAGTCCAGTCCAATCCTTGGTTCAAGATGATGAAGACAGTGAAGACAGCACCGAACCCGAGGGATTTGCTACCTATAATCCTGACTCCTGTCCTGATCCAAGTTGTGTGATTCGTGGAACGAGACACCATCACTGCTCCCAAGCCAGGTGCTTCTTTGCCACAGATCGGGCTGATCAGTTGCTGATGCACAGCAAGGATTTCCATGATAACGTTGATATTCTTCCCGGATTCGCTTTCTATGACAAAATGGTTGATTGTAGACTTCCTAGCTGTCACAGCAATCGCGTTCATCGGCATTATCATTGCACTAGGATGAATTGCGCGTATTCATTTGTGAGGTATTCAACTATGGCGCAGCATGAAAAGCAACACATGGGCATTATCCAGGAACCAATGGAAGTTCCAGAGTCTCAAGGTCAGAGTCAGAGTCAGATGCTTGGGCAGATTTGCCAGATACCAGAGAAGCCCAGGATCCAGGTGAAGAATCCATCAGAGCTGATTGACAAGCCAGAAATCTGTCAGGATGATTCAAGGTCCATTATTGATGACAAAGACGACGCTAGTCCTGACACTAACAAAACAACTGGTGAGTTAATACGTTAGGTAGGCACGAAGCTAGCGCACTTAGATTATACTTATTATTACATTTTAAGAATGGTAGACGAGACGAATTTGATGAAAATTTTCATACACCAGATTGTTTTGCAATTATATTGCTAAACAGTCTAATTCACTGCATGACCTGCACGATTGCACTGTTTTTAAACACACACCTCTTTGTTACCTGTTTGTTAAATTTACATGTTTATGATCTGTTAATTAGCCAGTAAGTTATGATTAGTGGTTAGTGGGCGGTATTTATTCAAGTGTTGGTTGTTTTTGGTTGATTGCTAGTGGTGAGGGCGGCAGGGACCTATTATCCGGTAAGCGGACCGCCGAATGAACCCGCACTTCCGAGCGCCATGCTATCCATGCGAGCTTCCGTGCACCAAGGTTCGTGCCACCGACCAGTTTTTTTTTTTTTCATCTATCTCAACTATTCTCTCAAAACTTACCACTAAATCAGAATGTTCCAAAATTCTAAACCCAAATCTACACGGAAAGAATAAGATGACACTGGATATCATCCCAAATTATACTGAGTGAAAAAAAATTTCTGATAATAGCTAATATAATCCAGATTACAATGCGTATAATCAAGATTATAATGAGTAGGGCCTGGAATTTCGCCACCATTCAAATGACTGTTTATATGTTTAACCTTAAATTTGAACAATTGAAAATAGGCCAAATTCCGTGCCCTAATAATAAGTATAATCCAGATTGTAATGAGTACAATCCAGATTATAATGATTATCATCCAGATATCACTGAGTACAATCTCGGATAATATCCAGTGTCATCTTGTTCTTTCCTTATAGCTGGACCATTCTGATGCACCACCTTCCATCACCACCCTGCTAATCACTCGTTTCTGTTACAGAGCCTCCAGTTCCATCAACCAGTTCTTCACCACACACCCTCTACGGACCAGACCAGAGTTGCAGCCGGCCGTTCTGCAAACTAAAGCGGAAAAACCACTACCACTGCAACGCTTGCAACCAAGCCTTCTCCGAACTGGACCGCCTGGTGGCGCACATCGCTAAGCACTCTACCGGGGCGATCCTGAGCCAACAACAGCACCCCGAGCTTCCGAACCTTCCGAACCCTCCGAACATCCCCACGGACTACCTAACCCAGCTATCCCAGCACAAACCGGATTTCATGACCCAGAACGTCCAAATGCAGAACATGCAGTACCAGAACATCCGCCAGATGTCCCAGCCCCAGCACCAACAATCCCCCATTAAAGAGATCAAGCTAGAAAGCCCCAGACCCGAACCTCCCAGCCAAATCAAACGCGAACCGACGGAATCCCGCGAAGAACCCCAACCGGACAACCCCAATGAGAACAACGGACACATCCAGGTTCCTACCAGCATGGCCCAACCAGTTCCAGGTGGGTTCGAATTAGATCTAAGCCACGGGTTCCACTTCCCCAGTCCCGCAGTGATGGCCGCGATGAACCAGCAGCTAGCTTTGATGAACCAAGCGCTCCCGCCGTTTTTACAACATGGCGGGATGTACGCCAGTGCGCCTAGCTTGATGTTCGCTCCAGCTATACCACCTGGGAACTTCCTCCCGGGGAGGGACGACAACCCTCTAGCATCCCTAGCGGCGAATTTGAACCTATCTAAGCGGTCCCTCTCTCCATCAGACGCCAATTCGATGGAAGCTAAAAAGCAGCGGCTGCATCACTCCATGCGGATGCTCAAGGACGAACCTGTTCCTGATGGGTACGTTCGCTTTAGGTTCAATGAAGACTGCAGGTACCCCCACTGCGGCTACCGCGAACACCAAACCCACTTCCACTGCATGCGGCAAGATTGTGGGTACTCCTTCTGCGACAAAACTAGGTTTGTTCAACACACTGCTAGGCACGAACGCTTGGACACCTTGATGGGTAGCGAGTTCCAGCAGTACAGAGCTAATGTTCCGTGTGGCAGAGCCAATTGCGCTTACACTTCTTCTTTAGGTTCCATGCAGAACAAGGCTTCACACTTCCATTGCTTGAAGTGTGACTTTGTTTGCACTGATACTAACAAAGTTGTCGCTCACAGGCGGCAGCACGCTAAGTTAGACAGCATTGCTGCAGCTGGCTTCCAGAAATTCACACCCAGTTTGCCCTGTGGCGCTGTTCAGTGCCAACATTCTGGCAAACAAACGCATTATCATTGTCTTCAGTGTCAATACGCGGTTCTAGGACTCGCCCAAATGTCCGCTCACAAGTACCGACACATCGACGGCTAGTTTTTGTTAGTGAATTAGCGCTCACTACTGCGCCATCTACTGGAAAGAACATTTAATTGTATTACGCAGTATTGAGATGTTGTTATTAAGACTGGCTGGTAAAAGACAAGGAATTGTTGTACGATGTACAATTATATAAATATGAATATATAGAGAGAATTATTGATATGAATTTGAATTTTTTAAGTATATGTATGTATTTGTATAATTTTTCGTAAGGTAGCCGTAGGAAGTGTGATGCTCAAAAATTACGGAATTCTCCTCCTCTGGGAAGTAAGGAATTTATAGGTATATTTAATATACATACTAAAAATTTTAAGAAATATATATAGAGAGTATTGATATATAGTGCAGAGGGCGCTCTTGTTTCTAACTTTTGTATTGTGTACGGAGTCAGCGCTAGAGTTTTCTGGCAGGTGCCTTTAGGGTCTTACAAAACAATGTAGTGTGCCTTAGAATCAGGTCGACAATTTTAAATATGGAGGTTTTTAGACAAAGCTTGGATTTTATCGGAAAATTTACTGTAGTGCCTTGGAGAAAAATTACGGAGGATTTTTTATAATTTTGTTTGAGAAGGAAATATTGTAGTGCAACTAAGTGGGGATAGCTTAGCGGACGGAGCTCTTAATAGCTAATTGGAGGAAACAGAGTTCGATTCCTGGTCTGGGTTTTCTCATTTATTTTTTTTTTTTTTTTTTTTTTTTTTTTTTTAATTATTTTTTTGCGTATTTTCATAAATTATATAATCTATTAAAATAAAATTTATATTTTTTCTCGCTGCAAAAAAAAAATAATTTAGACCAGAAATCGAACCCGAATCTTTTTTATCCGGAATATTAAGGTTATTTTGTAGTGCGACTAAGTGGAAGTAGCTTAGAGAACAGAGATCTTAATAACTAACTGGAGAAAACAGGGTTCGATTCTTGGTCTGAGTTTTTTTTTTTTTTTTTTTTTTTAAATTAAAATCATCTTCTTCGGCGTTTTTTAACAGTTATACATATGTGGAAGAAATTACCGGCAGACATTGTAAATTCTCATAGTCTTGGAGTTTTCAAAAATAAACTTTTCGATCACTTGTTTGGACATTTAATAAGCTATTGTATAAATTCTTAGTTAAATCGCATTAATTTAAACTATTATTATAAAAAAGTAGGTCTTGTATTTTAGTTTTAATTATTTTATAAGATACTATAATTGTTTATTTCTATTATCATCTTAATCTAATTATTGTATTAGATTAATTCATGACACTGAAGTTGATATTAAAAAATTTTTTTATAATTTTATAGCAGTAAAATTGTTATCAAAAAATTTAATTAAAAAATTCTGCATGTAAAAATTTTGAAAACTTATCAGTAGCAATTTTGTAAAGATTTTTTTTTTATTGTATTTGATTTATTATAAAAATTAAAATAGATAATTTTATTGCATAAGGATAGTGATTGCAACTTGCTAGTAATTAATAATTAAAAAAAAATTCAATTAAATAATTTTATAGAAAATAAACGCAATATTATTGAGTATTGATTGATTGAGAGAAAAATAGAATAAAAAAAAAAACGTTAGTCTCACCTTCAAATTAACCTGAGCCATCCGGGGGGCAGAGGCAGAAGAATAAGGTCTATAAGCCATAGCAGTAGCTGATTGATAAGCTCCTGCCCCTTGGCCCCCAGGATAGGATCCAGGATAAGCGTTAGTATGAGAACTCGCTTGGCCAGGATAGTTTGAATTCATGCTCATGCCAGGATTGACACCCGGTTGGCCGGGATAACTCATGCTAGGGTAGTTAGGCTGTTGAGGAAGATTTGATTGGTAGGATTGAGGTGCATAAGGCGGTGCTGAAAAGCTGGGATTTTGTGCGGGGTGATGAGTTGAGCTTGGAGGAAAAGTAGCTCCAGGGTTCATTGGGTAAGACAGTGAAGCGCTTGGAGGATAAGGAGAAGGTACATTAGCTTGGCCGGGGTACGGCATAGATGGGTTAGAAGATGGAGGGTAGGGACTTGGGTATGGGCTTGCTGGGTAAGGGGAAGAAAAAGGTTGAGGCATGTTGAATGATCCTGGTGTCGGATTGAAACCGTAACCGGCGCTTGAAGGATAAGGAGGAACTCCAGGGGCAGGAGGTCCACCAGAGTGAGCTTCGTGAGGGTTTGGCTTCTCTCCTGGATACGGCATTGGTGGGCCCTTAGGATTTTTAAGGTTTAATAATAGAAGTTAGTGATAATAAAATTAACAGATATTTGATCGATTTTTAATTTTTTTTTTAAATAAATTACTACACAAAAAAGTATGAAAATTAATTTAGGAAATATTTTATAATTTTAAGAATTTGGGTGACAAATAAATTATTGCAAAAAAAATTAAGAAAAAAAATTGACACAGATATTTTAAAAAATGTTAAATGCAATTTTTTAAAAATAATTTTCTAAATATCAAATGTCTGCTAATTTCAGTATCATAATAATTTTAATAATTTTGGTGAGAAATAAATGATTGCAAAGAAAATTGACATGTAGAAATTTTAAAAAATTAAAAATGCAATTTTTTATAAATAATTTTTTGGAACAAATTTTGTTGATAAATAAAATAAAAAAAAATGATCAAGTGACTGCTAACTTTTTAATGTCATCAAAAAAGTTATTAATTAAAAATTAAAAATATTTATTAATGAAAAAAAAAAAATTAATTTGAATCAAGAAAATAATTTTGAAGAACTTTATTGTCTTGATTTTAGTTGAAAAATTTTTCAACTAACAAATTTTACTTGATTCAAGAGATTTTTTTTTCTTTTTCAGTGTGTTAATATAATAACAAAAATATTTTTAAAAAATATCAATACTTTTTTGTTTTTACTAGTAAAATTTTTTGAATTTGTTTTGTATTTTTTAAAGTTTTCTAATTTTATCTTAAACTTTTCTATTTTTATTCATAAAAAATTAAAGTTTTCTGATTTATTTTTTTTTTTACTTGCTTTTATGACGCATTCAAGATAAGAATTATTACAATAACCGTAGATAATTTTTTTAATTAGTTTTGATGCTTTTAATATTAAAAAAATGATAAAAAAATTAATTGTCAAAAATTTTTAATAAAATTTTTTTAAGTATTATTTTAAAAATTTTTTTTTTCTAAATAATTTTTTCCATGTCGACTTTTTACAATTTTTACTAGTACTTTTTTTTCAATCCACAAATTAATATTTAAAAAATTATTTTTTTATCTTTAATTAAATTAAAAAAAAAAAAAATTTAACTTAACAATATTTTAAATAAAAAAAATCTAATTTTTTAATCAAAAAGATTTCCATTATTTGTAAAAAATGATAATAAAAATTTTTTAAACGAATTAGGAAATATGGTTACCCAATAATCCGTAAGAACAAAATCGTAGACAAAGTAATCCGAGAAGACTCAGCGAGTTCCCGATCAAACTTTTCATTCATGCGATCGGGGCTCCCCAAGCCGTTCCAATCAACGTAAGTAACCGTTTAACTCGACAATCTATTTATATTAATTACTTAAAATAAAAACAAATGAGAATAGAGCTCTAAAACGAAGAAAAAAAAAAAAAAAAAACTTAATCTTGTTCCTCATCCTCATCTTCATCTTCTTTCAGGTCGTTAAGTCAAATTTTTAATCACCAGCTGACGTCGACGGCGATGGAGGGCGCGGTAGGATTAACCGTTAACAGACGGAGCGATTTCGATCCCAGCGAGCCTATTTACACAGATCCATCATTGTTCGAAGTGTCACGTGATTCGCTACATCAATCAAACTCCGCCCGTAATGAAAATCTCCATCTCATATGACGATTATCCAATCTTGAGCAATCATTATCTCTAATTGATTAATTAAGCCTAAATTAATTCCACTAAATCAATTTATTATCCAATCAATATATTTTTACAATAATTATAAGTCAAATAAACTCTATAGCTTACAATATTTTTACTAAAATAATTATTAAATAAAAATATAAATATTACAATTGTTTAATCAAGAGTTTCAAAAATTATTTCTCTTTATCTTCAGTTGTTGTGGTAATAAATTTACAACTCTTCCGCTTTTAAGCCCACTATACCAGTAGTTCAATCCATAATATGTACTCTCTGCTATGCGGTGAGAGACAATACAAGTAAAGAGCTCACTACATTACTGACCGTCGAGAAGATACCGAGTGGATGTGAATGCGGAGTAGCTCGTATTGAGTTGGGAATCGGGAAGCTGTATTGCTGTATATAGAGCAAGACTCGAGTAGAGATGAGTGGGTGAATAGTAAGTGGTATCGGGGATTACCATAAGTAGTTGAACGAACGAGCCCGTGTCATCAGACAAGTTTAAAAACATCTTCATATAATACATACTTTAGACCCGAGAGATATCTTCCCGTAATTCTGGTCACGTACCGACCAGTTGTGATAATTCAAACTTCGATTGGGATCTTGGAAACTCTCCAAATATCCCTACATATATGTATATATTTACTATGTAATCTACTATGTACTACATATCTATTACATATAGTTGAATATATATCCATCTCTATCCATACATTATACATGCGCATTCTAATTTATTCCTACTGGACGACTGGACGTCTCATGGTAATGTCCCCAAGACATCCATGATCCGCAACGTTATATTCCAAGGTAAACTATTTGGTTAAACGCTCCCGCGGTAATATAATGAGATACAGAGGAATCGAGGTATTAAAAAGCAAAAACAAACTTGACTATCCCCGGATCCTGAATGGGAAAAAAAAAAGCCGATCCGCGGGGAAACGTCGGCTTTTTTCGGCCCGTCAATTTCTCAATGTTTTTGTCACGTCAAAATAATTTATTATCTTGCTAATTTTTCCGTGACAGTTGAAAATGTCTCGGGCTGAGGCAAATGTGATAAATTAAAACAAATTTCATGTGAGTTTCTTCAAAGGAATGCCATACCCGTGAAGCGCATGATAAATATGTAACACGTGTGGATCCTATCCCGACTTTACTCTACTTG